AGTGGGAGAGGGAGAAGCAGGCTTCCCGCGGAGCAGGGAGCCCGATGCGGGGCTCGATCCCAGGACCCTGGGACCATGACCTGAGCCGAAGGCAGATGCTTAACGACTGAGCCACCCAGGCACCCCTCCAATTGCTCTTGACTCTCCCCAGGGAGACCAGTGTCAGTCCTTCTCTCTGGGCCACTGCCTGGGGAGAGTAGAGTGGGCTACCACGTCTCCAGGGCCAGGGACCACTTGGTCTATGGAGGGTGGGACCAGGAGCCCCGGCCTGGTCTCTGCTACACCCAAAGCTTGGCAACTGCTGAGTCACATGACTCCTTAAAAGGGGCTTTAAGTCCTGGGCCTCCGTCATCCTGTGTTGTAAATGCTCTGACTTTCCGCAAGCCAGTGCCGTCTGTCTGCCCCCAGACCGAGCCCACTGTTGGGCTCCAGTGCCTTCCTCAGCGATGGTGGCACTGAGTTGTGTCCACGGTGGAGCAAGGCAAGCTGCTGGTCACAGGGCACGTGTGAGCAGAGGCAGAATGCCCACAGATAAGTCAAGGGAGCCAGGGCAGAGAACAGGCTTCCCTTCAGCCGTGGGAGGAGCAGGCCTGATGTGGGCAGGCATGAGGAGGGGCACGGCATGTGGCAAGTAGATTGGGGGCCCCAAGCTCCTAGAGGAGAGCTGAACCGGAACAACACACATGTCCAGGGGCCAGCGGAATGGAACAAAGATGGTGAGTGGGAGGAGGGGGACAGGGCTCCACCACGGGAAGGGCCTGGGCTGAGCAGTCCATGCGAGGCTGTCAGACATTCACCCAAACCCACGAGCCACTACCTATGAGGAAAATTGCATCAGCAGAGTTCCTGCCCCCTCCTGTACCTGCGGCTGGGGGCAGAGAAGAAACAGTACGCTGTCTAGTAGAGGAGACTTGTGTGTGGCCACCGAAGGTAATCGGCAGGGAGCATGAAACCCCGGAGGGAGGTGGCCGGGCAGGGTGCTGGCCGGGAGGAAGCTGGGGACAGGCAAGGGAACCTGCCAGAGAACCTGGCAGCTGGGCCTGATGGGGGACAGAGAGGCAGTGTCACTGGTGCGTCTCAGGGCTGAGAGACACCAGGGTCACTTTGGACTTGTTGACCAGGAGCCACAGAGGTTACTGCTGGAACTCTGCCCACCTGATGGCTGCAGCGCTTGCTTGCCTGCTTGTCTGTTGTTAGAACCACTTCCTTGAGGTATAGTGCGTGTACGGGACAGTCCAGCCAGCTAGCATGAGCTTTGTAGGATCCGCAGTGGTGCAGCCATCACAGTTCGAGAGCGTTTCCATCACCCCAAAGGAAGCCTCGCCCCCTTTCCCGGCCATCGCCCTGCCCCCACGGCTCTCAGCCCTGGGCACCTACTGATCTGCTTTCCATCGCCTTGCCTGTTCTGGGTACTCAATATAAATAGAATCCTAGAACACGTCGTCTTTTGTGGCTGGCTTCTTAGTATCACGGCTCCCTGTGGTAGCCTGTATCGGAGCCTCATTCCTTTTTGGGGCTAAGATCTTGTCATACAGATGGACCCTATTTTATTTACCCAGTCAGCAGTTGATGGACAGTTGGGTTGTTGTCACTTTTTGGCTGTTAAAGAGTAGTGCTGCAAGCATTTGTGTACAAGTTCTTGTTTCAACACCTCTTTTCAGTGCTCTTGGGTAGATGCTAGGAGTGGAATTGCTGGGTCACGTGATAGCTTGTTTAACGTTTGGAGGGACTGCCCAACCCCTTTCCAGAGGAGCTGCCCCATTTTACTTTCCTGCCAGCAGAGCCAGGCTTCTGGTCTCTCCACGTCCTCGAGCAACATCTGTTATCTGACTTGTTGATTCTAGCCATCCTAGGGGAAGGGGGTGGGAGATCTCACGGTTTTGATTGGCATTTCCCTGGCCACTAATGACCTTGAGCATCTTCTCAGGTGCCATTGGGCATTTGTATATCACCTTTGGAAAAATGGCTGCTCAAGTCCCCTGTTTTTTAATTGGGTCATTTGTATTTTTATTATTGAGTTGTAAGTGTTCTTTATATAGTCTAGATATGAGTTCCTTATCAGAGATATGATTTGCAAATATTTTCTCCCACTTTGCGGTTTGTCTTTCCACTTTCATGACAGTGTCCTTTGAAGCACAAAAGTTTTATTTTTTTTTGTTTTACATTTTATTTATTTATTTTTTAAGTAATCTCCACACCCAGCGTGGTGGGGCTTGAACCTACAACTGCGAGATCGAGAGTCGAATGCTCCACTGACTGAGCCAGCCAGGTGCCCCTGAAGCACAAAAGTTTTAAGTTTTAATGTAGTCCAATTTATTTTTTCTTTTGTTGCCTGTGCTTTTTTTTGTAAGATTTTATTTTTAAGTAATCTCTACATCCAGCGTGGAGTTCGAACTCACAACCCGGAGATCAAGAGTTGCACACTCCACCAACTGAGTCAGCCAGGAGCCCCGACCTGTGCTCTTTTTAATGCGATGCCTACGAAACTGCTGCCTAACCCAGCAGGTCATCTTGTCCCGGTGCCATTTGTTGGAAGGACTGCTCTTTCCCCATTTTGTGGACTTTGGCACCATGTAAAAATCAGTTGACCATGAAGAGGAGGGTGATGTCAAGTTTTGTCCCCCCTGCTCCCAGTTGAGTGGCCGTGGACAGGTCATTTCCCTCCAAGATTCTGTCCTTCTCCTTTGTGAAGTGGGTATAGTAGTGCTTCTTGGCTGGCATTTTGTATCACGTGAGGGCGTAACAGTAAGATCACCCAAAGATAATCCTACAAGCTGTGGCCCCGGGCCGTCTGTCACCTCAGCCACAGCCCTCTCCTGCCTAGGCTCTGTGTCGCCACCTGGACTCTGCAGGGTGGTAGGAGCATCTGGGATCCCAGGTAACCTTGAAGCCATGATGCAGAATCCGCTCAGAGGAGTGGGAGGCAAGGTGACTCCCCCGCCTGTGTATTTGTCCCAAACCCGAGGCAGGCCTGCTGGCTCTAGGCCCATTCTTACAGGGTTGGATCGAGCTAGTTCTTATTTTAGAACAAACCCACTGGAGTGGAATCTTCCCAGAGCCAAGGGGAGGTAAACAAAGGGGCCTCCAGGACCTACTCACAAGCTCTTGTTTAAATTAAGAGAAAAACATGTTTTGCTCCCCTCAGCGTGGGCTTGGCGCCTTTCATGTCTGTCCTCCCGAGGAAGGCGGCCGGGAGCCCTTGAGGTGAGGAATGATGTTTGGGTCTGTGGCTGGGGGGCTCAGGATTGCCAAACCGCTGCACTGGCTGCAGAAGAGCTATAAGGAGCTCCTGAGGAGGGCTGGCCTCGGGGAAGCACGGGTGGGGGCTTGGCACTGCCCCTGTCACTGGCTTCTGAGTCACCAGCACAAGCTGGGGCTTTGGGGCCTAGCTTCGGCAGCAAGAGCTGAGCCCCACTTCTGCAGAGGAGCCAGGGGTAGCCCTGGGTTGTGGTGACAGCCTCAGCCCACACGCTGGGACTCCCAGCTGAGGAGAGTAGCCCAGGGGAGGCTGGAGCAGGCCCTTGGCCGCTGTGGGTCAGCTGGCAGCGTGAGGAGCAGAGCCTCTGGTCAGGCCTGCGTGGATGCCCCTTTCCAGTGGGCCACTCACAACCTTGGGCACACGTTACAGGGAGACTCCATGACAAGGCGCCTGACCCCTAGGGAGTTCCTTCGGTGGACGTACATTTGCTGCTTTAACTAATAGTAATCCTCCGAAAAGCTGTCACAGCCATGATACTTTTCCTGTTTCCCAGATGAAGTATCAAAACCAAGGCCGCCCGATCAGGGGCCCGTCCCCTTTTATTCTTTCCATGTCCTCCAGGTGCCTCCCCTGGGCCCTGCCCGCCTTTACTCTTCCCAGAGCGAGCCGTGTTCTGCAGGTGGGAAGACACCTGATAGGGCTGCAGTGGAGCAGGGCTGGCCTGGGGGTGCTGAGCCTCGGGACACAGGTGCAGGACGCCCAGCTGGAGGACAGAGAAAAGGGCCTGGTGAGGCCGGGGTGGTGACGGTGGGAAGGGGCTGGGAGAGGTCAGTGTTAGGGCCATGCTCTGAGGCTTGCCTGCCAGGCCAGGAGTTTGAGCTGTCAGCTCTGAAGCATCCTTGCCTCTTCAGCCTCCTGTCACATAGGCTTGGAAACCAAGGCCCAGAGAGGCGGCAGCTCAGCTGTGTCCTCCCTCCCATGGTGCTCCTGTGTGTGTCTGCCCCCCTACACACACACACACCCACGCTGTGTCTCCTTGGCAAGAGGGTGCACAGGTGGCCATCGGGGTGGTCACTGAGGGGCTGTGGAGTGTAGTGATCAGGGGATCAGGGTCCCAGGCCCAGCTGTCTGCCCTAAGCAAATAGCCCAGCTCTCTGGGATTTAGTTGGACCAGTGAAGTGGGCTGAGGGGCAAGTGTGCAGAGTATTCAGGAGCAGGCCGGCCCAGCGGCCTTCAGTGATGCGGTGTCGAGGCTGGTGGGTCCAGGTCCTGGGCACTGAGTGGGGTAGACCGCCCTCCCCTGCCTCCCCAGCAACACTGGTCATGGGGAATGCCCTCCCCAGGCTTATAGACCAGAGACACCTAGGCAGCAACAAAGGGCCTGTTAGAGAATGCTTTGAAGAGAAGCTGTTGTTGTGGGGGGACCTGGCATCTCCAGTGACTCTGCCTTGAGGTTTGCGTGACAGGTGATGACCAGGCCACTCCTCTCAGGAGTGCTGTTCTGAGGAGCCAGGCACGGAAACGGCCCAGTAGGGAGGAGGCAGAGGAGGTGGCAGGAAAGGCCTGGGCCTTCCTGCCGTGCCCTGGCTTCAGTGTTCTGGCAGGGGGTGGACGCTGGTTTCTGGTGGCCTTTCTAGCTGCTACTCTGTGCACTAGCAATTACTACCCCCCACCCCACCCCGGCCCACAGTGAGAACCCCCTACCCACGGTGGAGATTGCCATCCGGAACACAGGTGATGCTGACCAGTGGTGCCCGCTGCTGGAGACTCTGACGGACGCCGAGATGGAAAAGAAGATCCGCGACCAGGACAGGAACACAAGGTACCCCTGACCCCCCCAGGCTCCCTACAGCTGGCTCTGCCCAAAGGTGACCTGGTTTCTGGGAGGGTACCGAGTTGCCAGAGGCAGGCCCCTGAGTGGTAAGTCCCAGTCTAGCCCCTGGGTGGGTTTCCCTGCCGGGAACAAAACTAAGCCCTCAGGTTGGGTCTGACCACAGCCCAGACCTGCGTGTCTGGAGCCCTGGAGAGGTAGACAGGACCTGAGCAAGCTGGAGAGAGGGCAGCCTCAGGGCCTTAAGCAGCAGACAGGCTCAGAGCAAGCAAGGGGCTGGGGACCCCCCCCCCCTTTCCATGTCCTGTCTCTGTCCCCACTCCCCTGGCTGCACTAGAGATCCCCGGGGGGATCTGGGTCACCGCCTGCTCTCCTTCTGCAGGCGTATGAGGCGTCTTGCCAACACTGCCCCAGCCTGGTAACCAGCCCATCGGTGCATGGCTCCCACGGAGCGTTCAGAAGATCGGACCACCTCTCCTTCATCTTCTGGAAAGGAGGGCGGCCAAGGGGGCAGGCCGGGGCCATCCTGAGGAGCATGGGGTGTGGGGAGGGCTTCCACTCACCCTTCCCTGGGCACACATTCCATTTGTTGAGCCCCAGTCCCCACCCAAGTCTCTGGTCAGAAAGAGGCCTCGTTTTTGGGTTGTGTTTTGTTTTTGTATAGGAGCCCCAGGTAGGGCTAGCAACACTTTTTAAATAAAGACAACAGGTCATGTTCCATTTTTTCAAAGTGGTAGCATAAAAATAAGAAAGGGGACGAGGAGCAGGGTCTGGCTTGGGTGGTGTGTGGCCAAGGTTGGCATGCCAGGCCTCTCGCCCTTCTGGGCCTCAGAGCCCCAGCTGGGCAGGTTGGGGCTGATACGGCTGCAGCCAAGGCCAACGGCAGCACAGTCGTGCATTCCTCAGGCCCGCCGCCCGCCACCTGTGCCGTCCTCATACCGACGGACAGAAGTGAGGTCACGAAGCTCAGAGGGCAGGAGGCCCGCTTACCTTGCAGTGACAGCCCCACCCCGCCCCCTTAGCTTGGCCTTGTGAAGCCGCTTAGGCTTTCCTGCTGTCTTTGGGCTCTGCTGTGTCCAGACTGTTGTCGCGCCCCCCCCCCCCCCCCCCCACCACCCCGGAACATTGCTTCTCTGGAGTCCCTTGCAGCAGCCATGTCCTTTGTGGGTGCTATGGGGGTGTCAGCAGCCTGGGTGCCCAAGGGCCCACGCCTGCCTGTTCCAGCTGCACCCCTGGCTGGTGCCATGGGCCAGACCAGCTCTTCTCTCAGGCCGGTTGTGAGCAGTGAGGTGCGTGGAGCAGCACACCTGCCTAGGGCCGGCCGTGGGGGGGATGTGGTGTGTTGAGAAGGAGGCATAGCCCTGGGCCTCTCCTCAGCTCTGCCTCCAGTGAGCTGCTTGCCCCGTCTGCATCCTTGTCTCATGTGGAAGTGTCCCCACTCTACAGAAGGGATGTGGGCTGCGTGAGGGTGGCATGTGTGGGTCTCCTCGCAGAGCCGAGCAATGCTTGGTGAGTTGGGCACACAGCTGCAGTCTTACCGAAGAGAACAGACCCCCAGCTCTGGGCTGGTGCCTTCAGGTGCTGCTAGGTCTTCCCTGTCAGGTTAGGGCTGCTCTGCTCCCCAGGAGCATGGCAGGAGCATGATGCCACCTGGCTTCCAACCTGAGCCCCACACTGGCCAAGGGCAGAGCTCTTGAGTAGGAATTGGGGTCTTGATTACCAGGATAATAGGGGTAGATGGGCCTGGCCCTCTGGGCTGGGTGTCCTATGATCATGTCCTGGGACATGACGGCTCCCACCACCCAGGGAGTTTGTACTCAAGCCCCTTGCCCTTCATCCAGGAGTGCAACTTGCTGGAGCTCCACAGCAAGGAGATGGTTGGGCTTCACTGGAAGGCCCTGAACAAAGAGGAAGATTCCAGGCCCAGGCTCTGCTGGCCTTGGAGACAAGTGGGCTCCATTGCTGAACGGTTTGCTTGGTCCATGTGCCCCTACAACTGGTGGGATGGAATGAAACTGCCCACCTCAGCCCCTCTGGGCAGGCCAGCCCACCAGGCCCGCCCAGAGGCTGAGCCCTCACTTGGAGCACTGCTGCAGAGCCAGCTGCGACTCCACGCGGTTTCCCTACAAAATTAAGGTCAGACTCCATGGTGAATACTTGGGCCATCCGTGAATGTGACAGCCTGCAGCTGGAGGAGCCCGTATGCTGCTGATCATCCAGGAATAAAACAGAGTTCCGACTGGTCTAGGGCAATGAGGAAAGTTGGTCAGGGTGTCTGGTGCCCGCTTTACCAAAGAAAAAAGTGAGCTGTGGGATCAGATCAGGCTCCCATGGTTCTCAGCTAAAAACATAAGGGAGAGAGCTTTGTAGAACTCTGCCAAGATGAAAACTTCTCAAAGCTTTGGGATTGCAGAAAGGGCAGAGGACCTGGTCCTGGCCCTCTGCCGCACCTGACCCCATGGAGCCTTGGCCAAGTCCATTGACTGCTCAGCTGGAAAGTGGGGCAAAGGTCCACTTGTTGCCACTAAGGGACAGGAGGAGCCAAGTGAGGCATCAGCCTGAGGGTACCACGGGCAGGAGCCCCTGCAAACTGGGCTTGGCATGACAGGGACATCCCAGTCCTGGCCCCAGCCAATGAGACCTGGCCAGTCCCCTGCTGCCTGGCCCGGAGCAGAGATCAGTGCAGGTAGGATTTGCCCAAGGCTCCATTAAGGCATTGGCAAAGCTGGAGTGAGAACCCCGAGTATGCCATCTGTGAGCTCAAAGCTGCTGGGCAACTGTGGGCAGGTTCTTGACCCCCTCTGGGCTTCCCATCCTACCACCTACAATTGGTCTGAGAGGGCAGACCAGGCTTGGTGGCCCTAGATCAAGGCCAGTAACACCTGCCCAGCGTGGAAGGATGTGGCCAGCCAAGGCAGGGAGCCAGTGCTGTGGGCAAAGAGACGCAGGTCATTCTGTTTATTTGGGTGGGCCCTGGGCACCAGCCCAGTCTCCAGGACAGGTTGCTCTTCTGTAAGCGGGAGTTAGGGGTGGAATGGAGGCCTGCCAGAGGCCAGGAAAACAGGCCGCTGGGGTTGGGGCTGGCCTTGGCCCTGGGTACGGTCATTGCTGCAGGGGTCCTGGCTGCTCCTCTGGGAGGGGCAGGTAATTGGGGTCCTCCTGTGGGGCATCCAGTAGCAGCTTCCTGTAGGGAGGGGCCCATGCTGAGCTGAGGCCAGCAGGCGTCCCCACTGGTATAGGAAGCCATCTGAGGGAGGGCAGCGGGAGAATTGTCATCTCTAGCACTCACAGGAAGCTGGGGGTCAGCAGCAGCCTCTTGCCTCCAGGTTGGTTGGGGAAGACATCCTCTAGGAAGTAGTAAATGTGGCCCACAGCAATCCCTGTAGGAGAGCCATGGATGGCTGAGGCCACTCTCCACAGTCCAGAGCCTGAGGCCAGCATAGCCTGCTCCCTGCCTCCAGGCACAGTTCCGGAGGCACAGCCAGGCCAGGCAACCTCAGGCCCCAGAGTATGAGCGCCCAGTGTTCTGCACAGACTGCCAGCCCCCACCCCGGGGTGGGAGAGCAGGGTTGACCCTGAAGGACAGGCTTACCTGGCCCAGAAGTGGGCAGGACCTGGGGAGGGGAGGGCCTGAGAACAGGGGAGGAATAGGAGCCAAGGCTGGGAACTTGACACACCTATCCCCACCCTGGTCAGGACCCACACGGGCATCAGTACACCGAAGATGGGGAGCCTGTAGCTGGCTGGCTTGTTCAGGGGCCAGAACAGAGGAGCTAGCAGGGCAGGAAGGCGGGGTGGGAGGACAGGTGAGAGGTCCAGTGCGGGTGGGAGGGAGGGCTCTGGCACAGCACACAGGCCTGTCTGGGGAGGGCGAGTGCACAGGCAGGCTCACCCAGCAGGTCCACGAGAATCGAGTTGCCCAGCAGCAGAGAGAATCCCATGAGTGCCCAGGGCAGGAATGGTGCCTGGAAGGTGAGGAGGCCGAAGAAGTTGACCCTCACTCGGGGGTTTCGGCGGCTCCATACATACACCAGCATGACTGTGAGGGCCTGGCCCAAGAAGAACAGGCTGCCCAGGAGCCCTAGCAGCTTGAGCCAGAGTCAAGGTGCTGGAGGCCTTCTGGTGCAGGCCTCAGAGCCCCTGCCCAGGACACCTCTGACTTGTGAGCCCCCTGGAATCCTCCCTAGTTTCCCTTCCCTCATCACCCCTATGCGCCATTCCCCTGTCCAGATGTGCCCTTCCAATCAAAGGCCACACTTCAGGCCCCACGTGATCTGCCCTGCTTGTCCACCGCGCCCCAGCCTCCAAACACTGCCGTCATTGCCCCAGTTTCTCCTGGCTACTGGCATGCAGGGCACGCAGGGCTCAGCCCCCAGCACCCCACCTGGCTCTCCTGCACATCACCCTGTGGTATTTTGTGTACAGCACTGAAAAGCTGGCGCTGACATCCGGAGCTGAGCACACGATGTACGCTAAATACATCCTAAGCTGGAGTGAACTACTCTGTCCCTCCCCGGCCCGGGCGCTCATGTCAGGCCCCAGGGCCAGCACAGGCTGGCCCCAGAGGCGCTGCGGCCTGAAGTTTCAGAGCCCGGGAAGGATACGGTCATGAGGACGCCCCCGAAGAGAAACATGAAGACGAAGTCGGCCGTGCGGCCGCGGAAGGAGCCCTCCTCCAGCATGCGGCAGTAGCGGAACCTGCGGCCTCCGTAAAGGAAGTATCACAGGGCGGAGCCTCAGTTTCCCCACTCCGGGCCGCCCCCCAGCCCCGCGAGCCGCCCACCGCCCTACGCCTGGGTCCGCGCGGGGCAGGATACACGAAGAGCATGTTGAAGAAGAAGCTGAATCCCAGGGGCCCGAAGAAGAGGAAGTTGGTGACGAGCCTCCAGACCTACGGAGATGGAGGGAAGGCAGGAGGTCAGGCGCAGGGCAGGCAGGGCCTGTCAGGTGCAATGGGTGGGGCCGCCTCACCTGGAACTTCCGGAACACGAGGTGCGGGTTGAAATAGAGCTGGAAGGGGCTGAGGAGCTCCAGTTGCTGCGGAACCAGGGGCGCGTCAGGTGCTTCCCCCGGGAATCCAGCGGTAACCATGACGACACCCCTCCCGGGCTGCAGCCATGGAGACACCCCCGCCCGCCCGGCCAGCTTACCACAGCAGCGGTGGTAAGGACGCAGGCCGCAGTATAGGCCCGCGTCACCGCGGGCACCTGCAGGAACTCGGCCGTCAGCCCCTGCCACGCCATTGAAACTTCTCTGACACGCGTGGCGCAACCTGCTGCACGCTCTTTAACCCGCCTCCAAACCCCGCCTCACTCCCGAATTCGGCCAATCCGCGTCGGAGGCGCAGCGCGCCCAGGGCCGAGGGAGGGACCCTGGGCCCGGTAACCAATAGGAGGAGGAAGCGGGAAGCCGAGGGCGGGACAGGGGAGTGGGCGGCTCGGGACTCGGGACCAAAGAGCAGGCCCCACAGGTGAGCACGTGGCGGTTGTTGTGATGGCTGTCGTGGTGGCGCGGGAGAACGTGTGGCCAATGAGGAACGGGTCGCTTCGCGGCAAGCTAGAGAGAACCAACAGCAAGGACCCACAAGACTTTGGGGGCGGGGCTAAGGTTACTCCGAGAGTGAAGATGAGAGGGGACCGAGTAACTGAGACCGGAAGGGGCGGGGTCACCCTGGGGCGTGGGCAAGGCGGGACCAATGCGAGTCTGGTCTGGAGGCTCTGTGAGGCCCCCTGGGGCGGCAGCGACTCGGTCGGGTCTTTCTCCCCTACTGAGAACCAATCAGTGCCACCTGGCCCACAACAGAGGAGGCGCTCAGCACTATGTCCAGCCACCCCCCACCCCCGCCGCGGTCCACTTCACCGCGCGCGGACTCCTGTGGGGAGTCTTCCCAAGGACCCCAGAGTGCCGACACTGGCCAGAGCAAGTGGGCGGCCTGGAGAGGGCCTCATCGTTTCTTTTTTTTTTAGATTTTATTTATTTATTTGACAGAGAGACACAGCGAGAGAGGGAACACAAGCAGGGGGAGTGGGAGAGGGAGAAGCAGGCTTCCCGCGGAGCAGGGAGCCCAACGCGGGGCTCG